CCCCAAAACCCCAAAACCCCAAAACCCCAAAACCCCAGATTGTATAATATGAATAGAATTATCAAATAAAATTTATTATTGCCTTTTTGACTTAATCTGTTTCATAAGATTACTCATGAAATATCTATCATCATCTCTTAAAGCATCTATTCTCCAGTTATATTTCTTGTTTTTTAATTTCTTTACATTACAAGAATTGCTTTGGCTTTCTTCACATTTAATCATTTTCCCTGAAAACATCTGTTTAGATTTTTCTATTACATATCTAGATTTAAATTCAATGAAAATATCATCAAGCTCTTCAAAGTTATCTTCCAAGTTAGCATTGGATAATTTTGCGATTGATCATACATCTGGAATTTTAGATTCTTTTAGTATAAGATCCTTATTCCTGTTAAAATGTTCTAGATCCTCTTTAAAACTTATTAAATTCCAATCTTTATGACTGTCTCTTTTTGAATCAGATCCTGGAGATAAATAGTTTGGAATTTTCAAATTAGTTTCATGATCCCTGGTTTGTCATCCATTGTTTCTATGATCTTTTATTGGAGGAATTGAGGGAGTGTTAGAGCCCATTTGATTGTTATTATTGGGGGTATTAACTTCATCTATTGTTATTCCAATTCCAAATTGCTTCACTTCATATTGACAACAGCCATAAGTACCTTTGTTTTCACCATAAAGGTATTTAAATTTCTCAAGATGAAATGCTCATGATTTATTTCATATCAATAGGTCTAAAATACTTGTCTCAGTGAGTGCACTTAAATATCTTTGTTCTAGCCCACATTTTCCAGTAAATTTCTTTCCATTGCATTCTATTCTCTCTGTGTTGCATTACAAACTCATTGAGATCCCAGAGGTTATCTGCCATATGCAATGATTTAAGTTCTCCTCTATGACCAATAGACAAATTAGAGTTTGAAGGGCAATTAAAAACCTCTCTTTGAGCTTCTGTGTAAAGCTCATTTCAGAGTTTACATTTGAATAGCATATTTCTTGAATCTTCAAAATAGAGTTCTAACTTCTTCTTGAAAAGTCTTGACAGGATCATATCTTTTTCATCAGTCAGAGAGTCCAAGTCTATGGAAGGTTAAGCAGAATCATACATGCATCCATCTGCTTCTCACAGAATTTTCTGGCTATATTTTTAGCAATATGGGATTTGTAAGTAGGAATTGGATCTTTTTGCAGCAGGAGGTGTTTAATGTTATCAACAATGTATTCAAGACACATGTCTGCTAACTTTGGCATTTCAAGATAATCACTAGACATCAAGATTGAATGTATGTTATTTGAAATTCAACTTGAAAGTGCCTTTTGGATCATTAAGGTAATCCATCAGCCATTTGAAGATGTGAATTTGACAATGTACTGTGATTTCTAAATCATCAATTCCTTTAATTTCTAGGTCTTTCTTCTTTCCATTCCTATCTTTTTCTAGAGATTTAATGTATTTTGTAAATCATTTCATTTCGTCTTGGAGAATGTATTTATTTCATTTGAATTCTTTCTTGACTCTTGTCACTGGATCAATCACATGAATAGTGATCAAGTCTATAAAATTACTGCGAAATGTTACCTTTTATGGAAGCTTCAGTTGAGCTGGATTTAATATTACTGGTTGAGTTCTGAACACTCCCTATATTCTATTAATACAAAGTATTATATATTGCTTACATAATTTTGCATCAGTAATTTTACCTCTGTCTTTATCAATTTCTGGTGTTTTAGGATTTGTATGCAATTGATCAGTAATGCTCTTTGCCTATTTTATCAAAATATAGGGAATACTGTTATTTTAGGCCCAATTGAGCTCCACACTTGCTTCTTTTCAATTTTCGGATTATCACTTTTACTGATACTACTTTCATGTAAAAATTTTTCTTCTCTCCTATTTTTGTCCTTGTCAAGGTTTGAAGTAGATGAAGATATCTTTTGATTCTGAAGAAGTGCATTATTAACGATATTAGTGCCATTGCTCTTCTTTTCCTTAGTAAAATCAAATCATGTTTGGGTAGTAGGGAAGGTATTCATAATCCTATTGTCAATACTTTCAGTTTCCCCATATTGGGACTTTAAAGCTTTTGAGTTGTTCTTGGCAATTGTTCTAATGAATTCTTTGCCTATAACTTTTCTGTAGACATTCTGCGGCTATTGATTTCTTTAATGATATTGTTAGGGTCTTTAATACCCGTATTTCCAATATCTGTCCGCTCGATATTGCTCAAAGCAATTTTCCTTGTTTCTGAATGATTCGTATTCACTAGAGTGTTATTTGTGCTCCTTTTGAGCCCTGCAGAAGTATTTGTTCGATTACTTCCAGATCCATAGGTAGTGGAAGCTCGAGAATTTCGAACAAAAACTCCTTGTTCATTCTTTTGGGAGCTATCTTTGAAGACATAACTCCTTCATTTATTTTTTGAAATTTGTTGAGCTGCAGAATAAGCTCCTTGAGCAATTGAATCATTGTTATTTGGCTTAGGTTTTTTCTTCTTAAGATCACTTGATTGCTCTCTTTCAGCTCTTTTGTTAAGTTTTGTTTTAGTGAAATTCTTTTGATTAGGATGCCATCTTTGCTGATTTATATAGATTCTTGCTTGTATTTTACATTTTTGGAATTCCTTTGACCGAAGAATTGAGAATTAATTTTTGGCTTGCTTGAAGAGTTTGAAACAACCTTATTTATCTTTTTACCGACACTTTGGAAAAAGCCTCCTTCAGAATGAGTTTTACTAGCATCAATAATTTTTAGGTTCTGCTGATTGTTACTTCCCAATTTTGATGTTAAGATATCATTATCTGAAATTATAGAGTCTCTGCTATAATCTTGGTCGCTTCCATTCATTCTAGTGAATGTTTGATTGGGAACATAGGATTTCTTGTTTTGATTCATGGAATTGCCGTTTAAGATAAGATTAGAATATAAACTCTTCTTGGGTTTACTAGCTGACGTCTCATAAGCTTTGTCACTTCTTTGAGCTATAAACAAGTTATTCGTGATTTTTGGATAATTTACACTCCTAAATTATTCAAGTGGTTGATAGTAATAGTTTTAACCTAAAAACTAGATTTTTGACAAGGAAGAATAAGTTAAAAATATCTGCTCGATAAACTGATCGGTTTCAAAACTCGAGTAATTTTTACCAATTAATCGTCTATTCGGTCCAAAAGAAGATGTAAGGCTTGAAGTCGTATATTTAGCCGAGTTGGTTGTGATCGGGTTTGCTCTATATTAAACAGTCAGCTTCAGCTTTTCAGTTATCTAAGAAATTAATATTAAGGCAGATATGTAGGAATATGTTCCTAAAAAAAATTAATGTATTATTTTTGGTTATTCGTATTTATAATTACAATCAAATATAACCCTCAAATAATTTTTACCTTTCTTTGACATTTCCTCTTGATCTATCGTTACTGGGTGAAGAGAATCTATTGGCTTGAAAAGAGAGCTTCTGTTGATTCACTCAATTATACGGGTCTGACATTTTCTTTAAGTATTATACTTATCAATACGATTTAGTTTAAAGGGGTTTTGGGGTTTTGGGGTTTTGGGGTTTTGGGGTGT